TCCGCGCCCCAAGCTCGCAGCCGCCGCCGCCGGAAATCTGGGCCCAGAGCCGCAGTCGGATCCTGGGGCCGCCGGAGCGCGGCCAACCCCCGCGCAGCCATGGCGGGGCCACGGGGCGCGCTGCTGGCCTGGTGCCGCCGCCAGTGCGAGGGTTACCGCGGCGTGGACATCCGCGACCTGAGCAGCTCCTTCCGGGACGGCCTGGCCTTCTGCGCCATCCTGCACCGGCACCGGCCCGACCTGCTGTGAGTGCCCGGGGGCGGGCGGGCGGGCGGTGCGGGTCGGTGCTGGGGACCCCCGCCCCCCTCAGTGACGCGGTGCCTCTCCCGGGAGACCGAGACGCGTACCCTACCGATGGACGCGGAACGCCCCCGGGGTTCCTGAGACACCCATCCCTCACCGCCCCCATTGAGCCTCTGATCCTATCCTCCGCCCACCCCCCCAACACTGAACCCCTGCCCATGAGGGTGCCCTCAGCCTAGGGGCACTGACCCCGCCTACCGGGCACCGATTTCCGCGCTAGAGACTCAGAGCCCCCCCAAGGCCTTGACCTTCTCCTTGGAAGGGCATTGAGCCTTTCCAAAAAACGGTAGAGGCGTTGCCGGTCCCCCCACCTTGAGGCATCGAAAGCCTCTTCACTCTGCGGGACCCCTTTGCTTTGTGGGTGCAGTAAACCTTCACTTCTCATCCTTGTCTGTGTGACCCTAGCACAGTACCTGACAGAGAGACCCCAGAGAACAATTGTTTGAATGAATGCCCCCCCTCCCCTCAAACTAGAACATAGACCTGCCCCCAGAGGCCTATCTAAGGTGGGACGCGTGCCTTGGGGCGCCACTAGAAGGGGGCGCCACTGAGCAGTTTCTATGCATCTCTTTTTCCTTTGCCAGTTGTCAGAGATCATAAAGCAAATTAAAAGTAGTAACTTTCGTGGCTCCTTGGAAACCCTAGACAGGATCCTTATGAGTCTCGACAGCATTTAACAACACCACCGGGCTCTGGTGGTGCTGTGGGTTAGGCATTGGACTAACCGAAGGGTCTGTGGTTTGAGCAGCCGCTCAGTGGGAGAGAGATGTGGCCGTCTGCTTCGGCAAAGCTTATGGAAGCCTAGGAAACTTTTTGGAGCCAGTTCTCTGCCCTGTAGGGTTAGTGTGAGTTGGAATCAACTCAAGGACAATGAGTAATGGGACATAATGTACTAAGGAAAAGATGAGCAAGCTTGACTAGGATTTTTGAGCTGATATATGGTAAAGTTATCCAAAAGATGGGTGTCAGATGTTTACAGTGCTAGTCATGGGTACTACTTTCTGTAGATACATTCTGCCTGCTTTCCTAGGTGTGTGCCCTCCACCCTTCTCAGTGGGGGCAGGAATGTGGTATGTCAAAGAAGAGGAGGGGGCTGAGTGACCCTAGCCCAGCCCTCAGCCAACTGTTCCAGGCTGTGAAATGGCTCCTAGCTCCCTGAGCTGCCCCAATGAGGGTCTCTAGACAAAATCTACACGGGGTCCAGAGTAGGTGACATCGAACTTCTAGTTCAGCTTTTTCTATCTTGGGTCCTAGCACTTCTTCCTTCTGCTCATTCATTCATAAAACTGAGCAAATGTTTGTCATGCCTGCCATTCCTTGGGCCTCAGGTCTCTTACAAATTGGAGCAAGAGGCATAGTCTCTCACCTCCTTTGCAGACAGCTCTGGACTCAAGCACCTAGCAGGACTTGTAATCCCTGTCTGTGCCTACCCTACCTCCAGACCTCCTGTCCCCAAAGGAGGACAGCACGGGGGAGGGTTTGAGGCAGGAGGGCTGGAAGGAAAGGGTCCCCTTAGGGATTGGATGCGGCAGGTACAATTTGTTATTGTGTCTCCTGCACTGGCAATAGCTGTAGGTGGTATGGGTGGCTGTGCTTAGTCCTGAGGAAAGGATTTTGGAGGTGGGTGGGTACAGAAGTAAGCAAGGTGAGGTGAAAGATCTAGTTGGGGAGGTGGAGGTGGGTTGCTGTCTGCTGAGGGTACATGATCACACTCCTGGAGGCATCAGAGTGGGTGGGGCCTAAAGGATGGTGGAAAAGGGTGTGAGGCTAGGGGTGCAGAAATTGGATCCATGTGTTGGATTGGATTGGAGGGCTCAAGGGGCTTTGTTTTGACGGGGAGGCAGCCAGTGAGGTAGGCGGCAAGGGCCAGGGCCAGTGTGTGAAGGGACTTGGCTGAGTCCTTTGGTATACCTGAGCCTGTTGGTATGCTTATGCAGTCTGTCTGTTGTTGTTGTTAAGTGTCGTGGAGTCAATTCCGACCCATAGCGACCCTGGCTGGTGTTAAAGCCCCTCCATGTCCCAGGTGTGTGACCTTGAGTAAATCGCTGGACCCCTCCAGGCATCATTTCCTCATCTGTAAACGTAAGACTAACTTCATAGAGTGGTGAGGATTAAATGAAATAATAAGCATCCAATTGATATTAGGCATTGTTGAGGAGTATTATTAGGAGTCCAGGTGTGGGTTTATGGGTTAACGCGCTGGACTGCAAAGTTCAAGCTCCCCAGCTGCTCCTCAGAAACCCTATACAGGGTCGCAATGGGTTGGAACCAACTCGACAGCACTTAACAACAACAACAGTTATTAGGCATCAGAGGGGGTGATAACAGTCTTTGGTTTAATCATTTACTCAACAACTATTTATGGAGTTACTACTCTGTGTAGTGTAAGGGTTACAAATAGGGCTGCTAATCTCACGGTCAGCAGATCGAAACTACCAGCTGTTCCGCAGGAGAAAGATGAGGCTTTCTGCTCCCGTAAAGATTTTACAACCTCAGAAACCCTGTACAGGGTCGCTATGAGTCGGAACCGACTCCACGGCACACAACAACAAGTGTGTGTTGGATACTGCATCTGCTCTTAAAGATATTCACCAGAATAACAGACAAAAACCCTACACAGTCTCCCAGAGTCTACAGGTGGAAGCAATTGTATGAGCAATGATGATCATTCCAAGTGAGAAGTGAACCTTGCCAGAGGGGATACACAGGAATCAAACTGAGACACTGGAGAAGCTTAATATCATCAAGTAAAACAAGGCCAGGGACTGTGGAACAGATCATTAATTGCTCTTATGCAAGTTCAGGTTGAAGCTGAAGAAAATGAAACCAAGTTCATGAGGACCAAAATACAGCCTTGAGTATATCCCACCTGAATTTAGAGACCATCTCAAAAAGAGATTTGATGCATTAGACACTCATGACAGAAGACCAGAGAATTTGTGGGATGACATCAAGAACATTATACATAAAAGAAGCAAGAGGTCATTAAAAAAGACAGGAAAGAAAGAAAAGACCAAAAGGGGTGTTAGAAGAGACTCTGAATCTTGCTCTTGAACCTTGAGAAGCTAAAGCAATTGGAAGAAATGATGACATGAAAGAGGTGAACAGAAAATTTCAAAGGGCAGTTTGAGAAGACAAAGTCAAGCATTATAATGAAATGTACAAAGACCTGGAGTTAGAAAACCAAAAGGGAAGACCACTCTCAGCATTTCTCCAGCAGAAAGAACTGAGGAATGCATTCAGGCCTCGAGTTTCAATATTGAAGGAATCTATGGGTAACATATTTAATGTCCCAGGAAGCATCAAAAGAAATACAGAGTCACTGTACCAGAAAGAATCGGTTGATGCTCACCTATTCCAAGATCCAAGCTGCACTGAAGGCACTGGTGGAAAACAGAGCTCCAGGAATTTGCAGAATACAAACTGAAATGGTTTAATAAACTGATGCAGTATTAGAAGACTCACTTGTCTATGCCAAGAAATTTGGAAAACAGCTACCTGACCTGTTGATTAGAAGAAATTCATACTAGTGCCCATTCCAAAGAAAGATGATGCAATGGAATGTGGAACTCACAGAATAATATCATTAATATCACTTGCAAATCAAATTTTGCTGAAGATAATTGAAAAATCATTGCAGCATTACATTGACAGGGAACTTCCAGAAATTCACACCGGATTCAAAAGAGGATGTGGAGTGAGGGATGTCTCTGCTGATCAGATGGATCTTGACTGAAAGCAGAGAATATCAGAAAGATGTTTACTTTTGCTTTATAGTCTATACAAAGACATTCAACTGTGTTTATCATAATAAACTATGGATAACATTTCAAAGAATGAGAATTCCAGAACATTCAATTTAATGTGCTCATGTGGAGCCTATACATAGACCAAGAAGCAGTCATTGAACAGAACAAGGGGATGTTGAATGGTTTAAAATCAGGAAAGGTGTGTGTCCTGGTTGTATTTTTTCACCATACTTATTCAGCCTGCTTTCTGAGCAAAGAATCTCAGAATCTGGATTATATGTAGAAGAATGTGGCATCAGGATTGGAGGGAGAGTCATTAACACTCTGTGATCTACAGATGATACAACATTGTTTGCTGGCAGTGAAGAGAACTGGAAGGATTTACTGATGGTCAGAAAACAAGAGCCTTCAATATGGCTTGCACTTCAGTGTAAAGAAAGTGGGAATTGCATAACTGGACCAACATCTTGGTAAAGGGAGAAGGACTGAAGTTGTCAAAGACTTCATTTTATTTGGATCCACAGTCAACACTCATGGAAGCAGCAATCAAGAAATCAAACAGCATATTGCATTAGGCAAATCTGTTCCTAAGGGTCTCTTATAAGTATTAAGGAGCAAAGATGTCCAGAGAAGGAGATCATGGTAAAGTGGAATGTGAGTGAAAAAGACGAAGACCCCCAAGGAGATGGATTGACACAGTGGCAGCAACACTTGTGAAGATGACATAGGACGGAATGGTGTTTTGTTCTGTTGTGCATAGGGTCGTTATGAGTCAGAACCTACTCAATAGCACCTAACACTCAATCCATCTCATTGGGGGTCTTCCTCTGTTTCGCTCACCTTCTACTTTGCCAAGCGTGAATTCCTTCTCCAGGACTGGCTCCTCCTGACAGTATGTCCAAAGTATAAGTATGAGAGATGAAGTCTCACCATCCTTGATTCTAAGAAACATTCTGGCTGTACTTCTTTCAAGCAGATTTGTTTGTTCTGGTAGTCCGTGGTACTTTCAATATTCTTTGCCAACACCATAATTCAAATGCATTGATTTTTCTGGGGTTTTCCGTACCCATTGTCCAACTTTCACATGCATCTGAGGTGTTTCAAAATACCAGTGCTTGGGACAGGCACTCCTTGCTCCTCAAAGTGACATCCTGGCTCTGTAACACTTTAAAGAGGCCTTTTGCACAGTTGGCTCAAACAGAAAGTGAATTGTGAGGATGGTGCAGGACTGGCCAGTGTTTCGTCCTATTGTCCGTAGACTCACGATGAGTTGGAACCGACCAGAAGGCACCTCACTGCAACAATTGTTGTTAGTGCACTAGAATAGGGTTTCCGAGGAGCGGCTGGTGAGCTTGAACTGCCAACCTTGTGGTTCAAACTGGCCTTGCAGTTGAGTGCTTATCCTATAGCGCCACATAACAAGAGCTATATCAGAGGTTTCCCAGGGGGAGACCAGAGCCTTGAAGGACATGGCAGAGGCCAGGTAAGGGCAGTTATGTGGGACGTGGAGGCAGTGCTGCTAAAGCCGCTGCACTAGGCACAGAGGGTCAGATTCCTCGGGACCTTTCCTGCTGACCAAAAAGTGGACGGGCTCACTGCGTAGGGGCCCTGGGGGCTTTAAGCGGGGGAGTGATGTGTCCAGACCATATGTGCAGGAAAGGGTCGCTCTCTTTTTTGCGGGGAGAGACCAAATTGTGTCCAGGTGTTCATTGCAAGGCAGTGCAGTGCCTGGGCTGCCATGCCAGCCTGCTGTCCAGGAGAGAAATAGAGGCCAGGTCCCCTGGAAGACAGGTAGAGGGCCTTACCAAATGGTAGGAAAGTGGAGCCATCAGGAAGCACCCCCCTTCAAGCTCCTGGAGTTGTGGACTCTACTCAGTGGTGACCCAGGCCTCTGCTGGGGCCTCTTGCGTTGTGCTGATGAGGGAGCTGGTCCATGCTCCTTCCGTCCCCCTAACATATCCAGGTACCTTTGTCTGTGATGTTCACCAGTACCGGTAGCTGTGCAGCTGATGATGACTCTTCAGGAGCCCATACGTGTCAGAGTAGAGCTGTGCTCCACAGGGTGTTTGTCACCTTCCTCCAAGGCTCCTCGGAGTGGCCATGAGTCTCCACCCTGTCATTTCGCAGCTGAGTGTGTAAACCGTAGGCACCACCTGGGATTCCCTATGTTCTTTCAGCTCCCTTAAAAAAGGCAGGTTGCAGGTTTCGTTTTGTGACCTGCCTCTCCCCTAGATCCAAATTGAGTCTCCCCGCTTAGAAAATGCTCAGATTGGAGTTACGAAATCGGAGTTACCGAAGCCAAGATGAGGTGTGGTGGGAGAAGTTGGAGGAGATAACAAATGGCAGTTTTACTGGAGATTTCTATAGTTTTCACATGGTTTTCGACCTTTATTCATTCAACAAACATGTATGGAGTGCCTCCTAGGTACCAGTAACTGTGCAGGTAACAGAGGTGCAGCGTGAACACAATGAAACCCCAGCCAACTAGGAGCAATCTGGGGACAGAGACAAGTTGGGTTTTTGTGTCATTTGAGCTCAGAGACAGTCTTTGTTGGGGGTTGGTCTGGTGTCCCCTCTGGGGTTGGCAAACAAGGAGATACTGGTTTCAGTCTGGTTCAAACTTGCTCTTTCCTATTAAAATCAGGAAAGGTGTATACCAGGGTTGTATCTTCTTACCATACTTACTCAATCTGTACACTGGGCAAATGATCTGAGAAGGTGGATTATTTGAAGAAGAATTTGGCATCAGAATTGGAGACTCATTAATAACCTGAGATATGTAGATGTCATACCCCTCCTGCCACCCCCCACGCCGAGAGACAGACAGACAGACAGATGCATGCACACACACACGCACACACACACACACACACAGATTGAGAGAGAGAGAGAGAGTTTTCTTGACCAGGAGTTTGAGATTTAGCTTAAATATCTGGCCTTAGGTCCCACTCAGGCAGCGGCAAAACTGAGCTTTGAACCCAGCTGGGCAAATAATCTGAGAAGCTAGATTATTTGAAGAAGAATTTGGCATCAGAATTGGAGACTCATTAATAACCTGAGATATGTAGATGTCATACCCCTCCTGCCACCCCCTACCCCGACACACACACACACAGAGAGAGAGAGAGAGAGAGAGAGAGAGAGAGAGAGAGAGAGACAAACAAAACTGAGTTTTGAACCCAGTCAACCTTAAGGCCTCTAAACCATCCCTCTCCACAACCTTTTCTTCCCTTCCACAGAGATGGTAAAGGTAAAACAAAAATCCAGTTAGGAGGTGCTGGGAATTGGGGTGACTGGAGTTGAGGTCCCCTTCGCTGTTGAGGGTCAAGGCCAGTCTCAGGGGACAGTCTGAGTCTCGACTGCTCGGGGGAGCATTAATGAGGAGCCAGGGAGAAGGAAGGGGTTTGCGTTGGTAGGGCAGAAAGGATGCTACCCCGCACACAGAGCTGCTCTCTCCTGCCCACCCAGCCCACTCAGCCTCTGGGTTTCCTGACTGCCTTTGTTTACCTTTACTCAAAGCTCACTGTGCTTGGGAAACTGTGAGGGGTGGAGAGAGGGACAGACTCTGTCTGTCCTCACTACCAAGCTGGGAGGGGGTACTAGTGCCTTCCCCGGGTTGCAGATGGGAACATGAGCACCTGAAGGACTGCTGGCCTGTCCACGGTCACACCAGCCTGGGACCCTGGCCTGGGCAATGCTGGCTTGCTCTGGGCCCGCCCGTCCTGGGTAGTGGAGACTACAGTTTTATAGTTTTAGCCGTAGAAGTCAAGGCTGTGCCAGGCCCCCAGGAGGCTGCTGGGAGGGGAGGCTGGGCTGCCTCTGCTAGCACTGGCTACTCTAAGAGCTGGGTTTGGGGCGGGGGAGGGAGAAGAGGGGGATAAATCAAGCCAGCAGGCTTGCCAGCTGTCCTATCCCCAGGGGACCCCCTCCTTTCCAGATCCTGTGACCTCTCACCTGTCCCGCCTTAGAAACCAGGAACCCCTTCTTATTCCCTCACAAGGGAAGATATCACCAGGGGGCCGGCCTGCCATTCAGTGCCAACAGCTCTGAAGTATGTATGATTTTTCAGTCTGGTTCAAACTTGTTCCTCTGTTCCTGGCTGCATTAAAAGAAATGTATTCATCTCCAGTTTGAGCTCTGTTGGGGACTTGGTGAGTCGTCGCAGCCCCTCCAGGTCTGTGACCTGTACTGGAAGGGCCAGAAATATGGGTTGCAGGGCTGGGTAGCATTCCTTCCCTGGGCTTCAGTGTCTTCATCTGTAAAATGGGTAGATGCTTGCCCTGGAGAGCTGCTGAGAAATAAGACAAATGCATGCCCGATACAAGGTTGGCATTCAGATGTCCCTCTTCTGATGGGTACTAGTCTGGGTCTTAGTTTTGTATTTGTCACTGACTCCTAATCCAGGAACTGACTTTCAGGGAAAGCTGTCTAGAATCTTAGGAAATCTTAAAGTTTAGGCTTGAGCTCTGTCCCCTCTGCTGAATGCGTCTAGGGGCCATGACCTCGCCTCTCTCCAGCAGGTAGTCCCAGATCCAGGACCTCCCTTCTACCCTGTGTTTGTTCCCTCCGTTTTCTCCTCTGTGCCCACAGACCCCTGCCTCTGTGGAGGCTGCCCCTAGCCACATTGAGGCCACCTCCATTGTGCTCCTTCCTGACCCCACAGCCCTGCCTCAGCCCTTGCTCACCAGTCTCTGTTCTGACTTGTTTTCCTCCCCTTTGCCTGTTGCAGAGAATTTGATTCACTTTCCAAGGACAATGTTTTTGAGAACAACCGCTTGGTGAGTCCTCTCACAGATGGAAGGTCAAGAGGGTGTGTGTGTGTGTGTGTGTGTGTGTGTGAGTGCATGCATGTGTGCTTGTCTTGAACATGGGTGCAGGGCAGGGGCTGAGGCTGGGGCTCATGGGCACCCTAGGAGCTACCTTTGCCTGCAGACCACAGGGCCTGGGCAAAGTCTGGCTTCTCTTGCACAACTCCAGCACCAGGTCGCCCCTTCCAAGGGTTTGGGGTGGACTCGAGCTGAGGGAGATGATAGTTGCCCCTGTCCCTGCCCCTGTCTCCCCCGAGGAGGGCACCCATTTACACTGTCCCTTTCTCTTTCTGCTGTGGCTGCTGCCACCCCATCCCTGTCCTTCCACCTTCCCTGCACCAGGCCTTTGAGGTGGCCGAGAAGGAGCTGGGGATCCCTGCTCTCCTGGACCCCAATGACATGGTCTCCATGAGGGTCCCCGACTGCCTCAGCATCATGACCTATGTGTCACAGTATTACAACCACTTCTCCAGCCCTGGCCAAGGTGAGCAGGTAGTCAGTCCTTCAGGGAGCTCAGCCCTCGGGGCGGGCCTGGGAGGTTGGCTGTTCTGTTGCTGAGCTGTAAACAGGTTAATGGGGAAGCAGTCCATCATCTGAGTGTCCTCTGGTAATGTAGCGGTTACAAATCGGGCTGTAAACCTCTGCGTCAGCAGTTCGAAACTACCAGCCGTTCCGCAAGAGAAAGATGAGGCGTTGTGCTCCCGTGAAGATTTACAGCCTCGGAAACCCTGTACAGGGTCTATATGAGTTGGAACTGACTCCACGGCACATAACAACAACAACAGCCTTGTGTGGGATACAGTTGAAAACATGTTCTCTGTCCTGGGGTGCTCAGAGTCTTCTAAGGGTGCAGACAGTAAACACAGAAGCACGTTGAGGCTATGGTAATGATGCATTTGGAAAGGGGCAGTGAGATTGGTTTCACAACTGGAAGAATGCAGTCAGAGTCACGGAATGGTCCATGGAAAAGCTATTGAGTTGGCATGTGTTTTGTGATGTATATTGTCACTGCAATAAAACAACAACAAAATGAAACCAGCTAATGAAACACCACCACAGAAAGCAAGAGACGAACCAGGTAATGTTAGAGGAGATGAAACAGGAGTTAGTGTGCTGTTTGTGAGCTCACCTCCCCAGCTCCCACCCTTCCTTCCTGTTTATAGACACTGGGCTGGGTTTTTCCCTCTGGTGGGGAAGTGATCCTCTGAGACTGTTTCCCCCCATGTGTCCTTCGAGTCTGGGGGATGTGAGGGGTCATAGGGCAGTTGACTGTTGAGTCTCCTGTTCTGTAGAGAGGAAGCAGCCAAGAGAGGGAAAGCAAGGACCCCAAGGTCACACAGCAGAAAAGCTGAACAATTTGGGTAAGAATCCCGGTGTTCTGACCTGCCTAGGTCTCTGCTGACAACAGGTTCTAATAGGGTGGGAGCCTTGTCCCTACCCTGTCCCCTTTCAGCCCTACCTTCCACTTCTGGTTGCAGTGCCAACCTACCCCCTTAAAAACGTGTTTTATGAAATCAGGATTCTTTCTTTTTTTTCTTTTGCTTGCTTAGAGTGGAATGTGCTTACTTTAGAAAAATGCATGAAAAATTAACAATTATCTCTTAACACCCTCCTTGGGATAACATTATGTTTGTTGTTGTTGTTGTCAAGTCGGTTCCGACCCATAGTGACCCTGTATAGGGTTTCTGAGGAGCAGCTGGTGAGCTTAAACCGCCGACCTTGCAGTTCAAAGTGACTGCAGCTCAGTGCATTAACCCATAGTGCCATACCAGGAGAGATTCGTATTATAGTTGGACAAATAAAATAATGTGCATTTTATTTTTTATTATTATTTTTTGAGATCTCTATTTTCTGACTTTTTATTGTGAATTGAGTGAAGGCTTACAGGTTTCACATTCACCAAATCAGACACTTCGTTTCCTCTCAGTGATTCAGTCCTCTCAGTGATTCAGTCCTCTCAGTGATTCAGTCCTCTCTCTCAGTGATTCAGTCCTCTCAGTGATTCAGTCCTCTCAGTGAAACATCCCTAACCCCACTTCCTCCCTGGGATTTTTGTTTCTATACCTCCTTCTTCCCTATGCCTTCTGAACTGTGTCCTTAGGGAAATACTGCCCTTGTGATCCTGAATGGGTGAATGTTCTATGGTGTGTGTACCTCATTAGTGGTGTTGTCCCCCCATATTACATGCATTTTAGTAGACATAAAAATGTATTCTGGACCAGAGTCTTTTTTTTTTTTTTTTTACCTTTTTATTGTGAATTAAGTGAAGGTTTACAGAGCAGAGCCTCAGTTTAACATTTGACAAATCATAGCCTTTGCGTCATTATACGGTTACAATCCCCTCCACGTACCAACAGTTAACAGCATTGACCTCTGTTCACTTTAACCATTGCCTTCCTCCCTGTGTCTCCCGTCACCCCCATCTTTCCTCGGCTAGCCTTCCTCTGGTTGTCTATTGTCTGCCCCGTTACCTGTGTCAATGCACGGACCACAGAGTCTTAGAGGGAAGGCTTAGGTGAAAGTTAGAGGCACAGACTCAATTTTGGCTCTGCTGTGTTTTGTTTGGGTTGATTATGGGTCCGTTACTTAATCCCTCTGCCTCTGTTTCCCTGTGCGAGGGAGATAGGAATACCAGCAGCTCAGTGAATGGATGTGAAGAATAAAGGAGGAAATTTATAACCATCTGGCCTGTATCAAGGGCCCAGTGTAAGCAGTATTATTGCTTCTTTGTGCCCATGGAGTTTCGTTTTCTTACTTAGAATCACATTCCTGTCTTCTTTCTTTGAGGGTTCCTGGGGCCTGTGCCCAGATCTCAGCAGGGCCACCTTTTCAAGGGACCTGGGTGGTCCCTAAGCCCATCCCTGGCTCTACTGGATACCCCAGCATTGACTGAAGGCAACACTGGGTGGGGTACCCCCTTGCCCTTTAGGGCCTCTAGCTTACAAAGTACAGTTTGTGCCCTTCCTACAACTTGGCCCCTACATGCAAACTGGTTTTGTTCCATCAGCTGCTCAACCAAAGAAAACAGTGCTGTGTGCCAACCCCAGAGGAAAAGCCCCCAGGTGGCCCTGCCTGGCCTTCCTGGTAACTGTGGCCAGCTTGTTTTTCACTGGGCTGGAAACTCGTAAAGGAGCCTTGGTGGCATGTTCATTAAGCACACATCTGTTAACTGACAGGTTGGAGTTCAAACCCACCAGCTGCTCCGTGGGAGAAATAAGAAGACAGTCTGTTTGCGTAAAGATTACAGCCTTAGAAACTCAGTGGGGGCAGTTCTGTTGTGTTTTGCAGGGGTGCTCTGAGTCACTGATGACAATCGGTTGAGATATCTGTGCTAAGTATTCAGCTGGAGCTAGGCCCAGTAGATACCAGTGGCCCTGGGCACATTCGCTCTGGGGACTTGGAAGAGATATCCCTGCTCCAGAAGGTGGGAGGGCAGGTGTCATCAGGATCAGATCCATCTTAGGATAATTGCTAAGGGCTTGGATGGCTGGCCTCACCCTACGTGGATCGTCACTTCCTGCCTCATCTGTTGTCGCTTGCTGCTGTGGAGTTAGCCCCCCACCTTGTGACCATCTTGTGCACAATGGAACGAAATGCTGCCTGATCCTGGGTCATCCTCATGATTGGTTATATGGATTGGACCAGTGTGATCCATAGGGTTTCCATTGGCAGATTATCAGAAGCTTGTTGCTAGCCCTCTCTTCCTAGTCCATCTTAGTCCAGAAACTCCACTGAAACCTGTTCAGTGTCCTAGCAACACGCAAGCCTTCACTGACAGACATGGCTGCACAGGAGGTGCATTGGCTGGGAATTGAACCTGGGTCTCCCCCATGGAAGGTGAGAACTGTACCACTGAGCCACCACTATCCTCATCCCAACTGTGCTGTTAAATGCTGTGGAGTCAGTTCTCACAGAGACCCTACGTAGGCTTTCCAGGAGCAGCTGCTGGGTTTGAACCACCAGTCTTGAGGTTAGCAGCCCAGGAATACTGGGCTTATCCAGGAATACTGAATTTCTGGCACTTTATTGACTATATCGCATACCTTTCACTGCTAAGCTTTGCCTTTTGCTGACCAGCCTCATCCACTCACCAATTCCTTCTTACGCAGCTCCCCTTTGGCCTCTTCCATGCAGCCTTCCCTGGTACTTCAGTCCTCTTGTAGCCTCTTGCCCATGGTGAGACCACAAGACACTGGCTGTAAAATCTTTATCACTCATCTCTGTCTAGCTCATTGCTGAGTAGCCTCAGCCCCTGGCCTTTGTTCACTCATTTAACAAATATTTATTAACCCTTATTATGGAGCCCTAGAATCCTGATGTGGCACTGTGGGTTAATACGCTGAACTGCAAAGTTGATTTGAACCACAAGGTTGGCAGTTCAAGCTCACCAACTGCTCCTCGGAAACTATACAGGGTCATGATGAGTCAGAACCAACTCAACAGTCCTTAAGTTTGGAGTCCTGGTATGTAGGATAAGCACTGGACTGCTAACTACAAGGTCAGCAGTTCAAGCCCATCAGCCACTCTGTGGGAGAAAGATAAAGCTTTCTGCCCTGTACAGATTTACAGCTTTGGAAACCACCCTAGACAGGTTGCTATGTTGGAATCAACTCGGTGGCATTGAGTTTGAGAGTTTTTAATGTGTCTGGCACTACACCAGGTCCTGGAAGACACCTGAGGAAAAAGACTTGGTTCCTACTAGCCTCACAGAGTTTCAGTGGATGGGGAAAAAGAGGTGGTGGTGTGCCGTGGAGTCGGTTCTGACTCATAGCGACCCTGCTTAGAGGTTCTGAGGCTGTAAATCTTTATGGAAGCAGAAATCTTCATCTTTCTCCTACAGAATGACTGGTAGTTTCGAACTGCTGACCTCGAGGTTAGCAGCCTGACTCGTAACCTCTACGCTACCAGAGCTACTGGGGAGGAAGTAAGACGGGAATAAATCAGCAATACGATTTCTAATGAGTGCAACGAAGAAAACACTACAAGACAGTGGGATAAAACGCAAGGGGGAAAGAAGTGGCTACTTTAGGTTGGAAGTTGGGGCTCTCCTTGAAGAAGTAACCTTGGAACTGAACCTGGATATGAGAGAAAGAAGCAGCCAGGTGGAAGTCTGGGGAGGCATGTTCTAGGAAGATGGCGTAGCAGAGGGGTCGGTGCGCTGTAAGGGGAGGGGCGAGGCGGGGAGGAATGAAGATGGAGTGGGGAGTGGGCTGATTATGTATGGACTGGATGACTGCTGGGCTTCTGAAAGTTTTGACCATGACCCACAGGAAGAAAGACCTTTGCCACCACGATCCAAGTTCCTGTACATATGTAACTAACTGAAATGCATTTCAGGAAGTGATTCTTCCCTACACCACACATCAGGCACGCAGATACTGTCCATTTCTTTTGTTTTTTTTAAATTCAGCTTAATCGTTTTCATTTCAAGTATATTTTGAAAATTGTAAATGGAGCTTTTTGTAAGCCAGAGTCAAAACACGTATTTCTCTTCACTTCACATTTTGACCAGATTCCAGATCATGTTTTCAGTTTTTAAAAATGTGCTGATTGCAATCCACTAAAATAATTGTATTGGTCTTTTGGTGTGGAGCTACACTAGACCGTGAACCACAGGGTCACCGGTTCAAATCCATCAGTTGCTCCTCGGAATCCCTACACAGGGTTACTATGAGTCAGAACTGATTGGATGGCAGTTAGCAACAAGAAGAAGCTAACTAGCTATGGATTGTGTATTGACCTTTGGTAAATGTTAGACCATGATAAGGAATTTGGATTGTTACTTAGTTTCTAAAAACTTGTTACTGTTGTTAACTACCATTAAGTCAATTCTGACTCTGCAACCCTGTATAGGGTTTCTGAGGCTGTAAATCTTTGCAGGAGCAGAAAGCCTCATCTTTCTCCTGAGGAGAAGCTGGTGGACTCAAACTGCTGACCGCGTGGTTCCCAGCTCAGAGCTTATCCTTCTGAGCCACCATGCTCTTTTAAAAAAAATTGCTATCTGGTAAAATCAATGTTTTTTTTGGGGTGGTGTACAGTTCCTGGAATTTCTGGGTTTTATTTTAATCATTGCATATTGTAGGAGCCCAGTGACCATGTATTTGCTGGGTTCTGGGCCATCCTGGCCCCCTTGGGGGTAGGCAGGGAACTTCTTTCTATGCAGGGAGCCAACCCATTTTCCAGAACTTTCAAGTTAACACATGGGGTTTCCTTTCTTTCCTTCTCTCATCCCCCAGACCCCGGTGGGAAAGTCCCACCACTCTGCCACCTCGTGGTGCTCTTCGTCCTGGCCCTGTGCTGGTCACTGTTGCCCTGTGTCCCGTGTAGCAGGACGAGCCCCCTGGTCCATGGGAAGGCCTTCTTGCTCTTGTCCCTGTGCCTTGGGCATCTGTCCAGAGGCTCCAATCTCACTCCAGGGTGGGACAGCATCTCTTGGAGCTCTGGGGTCTCTACCTGCCTCAGAGCCTCTCTCTTCTCTCTTGTCAGCTGGTATGTCAGCACCCAGGAAAAGCTTGACAACTTCCTCCCCACCTTCTGAAGCAGACACCCCAGTGGAACCAGGAGACTCGTCTCAGGTAGAGGCCTGGGGCAGAGGGCAGGGTGAGGGTACACAGGGCATTGGTAGACAAAGTTGCAGTGTTGGTTGTGTGGTGTGGGAGGTCCTGATATGTCTAGATGTGGTTTCTTGCCCTGGCACTCTAGGATTAAGAAATAGGGTTCTAGGAGCCCCTGGAGATGAGGGAGCAAAGGCCAGGGAGCCTATTTCTATGAGGCCCCGTTTCTTACTCCAGGGTTCAGTCAGGTGCTGTGAGGCCTGGGACCTGGAGAGAGGGAGTCAGAACCGGCTGTTGCCATTATGAAATGGTCAGACCCTTCCCCTGAGTCCCCTTGCAGAGCTTTTAGCTTCCTTGGGTTTGAGGAAACCTTTCAACAATCTTAGGGGTCTGAGTATGGACCCTGAGGCTCAGGCTGACTGTTCGCCCTGGACTCAGCTGGGAAGTGGGGTCACCCTGTGCTCCAAGGAGCGTAGAGCTGGTAACAGCAGCCTTCACATCTGGGCAGTTTGTGTTTGCTGCTTGCCAGAGGCACTCTGGGGGGTGGAGGGCATGTGGGGAGCTGGGCCCTGGGTGGTTGCCCAGTTTTTTTTCTTGTGGTTGTTGTTGTGTGTGCCATGGAATTAATCCTGAATCTCAGTGACCTTATTGGACAGAATAGAGCTGCTCCCTCTTGGTTCCTAGGCTGCGATCTTAATGGGAGCGGATTATCAGGTCTTCTCTCTTGGAACCACTGGTGGGTTTGAACCTTTCAGTTAGCAGCTGAACACGTGACCATTGCGTCACCATCACTCCCAGAATCAGTACTTGTGGACCTTTGTGATGAGTTGTGGAAAGTATAAACTGGTGAAAAGTTTGAGTCGTCCCATATTACGTGCCCAGCTGAGGTCGAACAGATCCAAGGAGGCTATAAATGGATGTGGTAGATAGGAGGTTCCAGTGTTGTTGGCTGTGCCTTCAAGGTGAATGAATTCACAGTATACGGAATAAAGATGTCTTTAAACAGAAATGAAAAAGCTCTGGTGTTTTGAACTCAGTTGCTATGGTTTGACCCCACCAGCTGCTTCAATGGAGAAAAACCTGATAGAGATGGCTCCAGTAAGGATCAATTTCAGAAGCCCTGTGGGGCAGTGCTATTTGGGTATACAGGGGTGCTGTGAGTCGGAGTAGAGGAAACAAACACATATGAAATAAGATTATGAATCCATTGGTTAAAAAACTATGCTGTAACCAGAGACTCTCAGGAACCTAACTGAGTGTCTCCCCTAGGAGCAACGGGTCAGTATTGACGAATTCTGTTTGGGGTGATGTCATAGGACGTAACTCCTTTGAACAGTGACATGTGACTATTCATTACTGTTGTGGAGACTCGCACACACTTGAGGGACTTTGGTCTGTAGAGGAAGATGAGGGGGTAGTGTTCTTGAACCGGCAAGACTGATGACTGTGCCTATCCCATTTCCTATAGGCTGAGGAGCTCTCCCCGGGCAGCCTGTCGGAGCAGAGCACCCACCAGACCCCAAGCAGCATATGCGCCGCCTGCCATCAGCGTGTACACCTGGTACAGCGGTACCTGGCCGAGGGCAAGCTGTACCATCGGCACTGCTTCCGGTGAGTGGCAGAGAGAACACTCGAAGTCAACACCCACCATATGCTCAGCACTTAACAGACTGCATGCCAGGCTGCCTTGCTTAGCCCCAGTTTGCTGATGAACAAACTGAGGCTTAGTTTAGCGAGAGGACAGGAACTGTTCAGTCAATTCGAGATGGAATCGATGTTAGAGCTCTGGGATTCTGCTTCCAGCACCCAAACTCTTTGTGCGGCTGCTAACTAAAAGGCCACTTTGCCTGAGGAAGATGTGATAGCCTGTTCCCGGAAAGATTTATAGCCTTAGATACGGTTGTAGTCTGTCTTACAGGGTTGCAATGGTATGAGTTAGAATTCACTCAATGGTACACAACAGCACTATATATATATATTAACCATCTTAGCAGTCTTCATGTGTAGGTTCAGTGACATTCATAAATTATGATGTGGGATATTTATAAATACTTTAAGGGTATTTATTTGACATTAGGAATCTTGGGCACATCACTTTGCTGCTAACTAACACGGCAGTTTAAGCCCACTAGTTGCTCCGAGGGAGAAAGCTGTGGCTGTCTCCTCCTTTCCAATAGAGCTCTGGGTACCCTATGGGGTAGTTCAACTCTGTCCCGTAGTGTCTCTGTGAGTTGAAAGTGACTTCATGGTGTGTGTGTGTGTTTATTGTTTTTAATGTTAATTTACATTAAAGGAGTCCCTGGATAGTGCAAATGGTTTTAAAAAAAAATCAAAACTGGTTGATTGAAACCCACCAAGTAAATTGACTTTCTGAGGGTAATAGTCAGGGCAAGACCTTGGCTTCCTCTTGCTTCATAAACTGAAGGCATGTTTCACAATTGAAGTTGCCAGTTTCATTGTTCTACTATGCATCTAACAGTTACTATGTATCTAACAGATACTGTGTTTTTGCTACTCTGGAAAGTCCTAGATGTTGAGCCAGGATCCTCATCTGACATTTGGGAGGGGAAGGAACTCCACCTTGGCTGGCCTATAGCACAGTAGCCAGCTCTGGACTGAGCTGAAACCTCTCTGTCTCCACCCTATCTCCCCTACAGGTGTCGGCGGTGCTCCAGCACCCTGCTCCCTGGAGCATACATGACTGGGCCCGAGGAGGGCACCTTCGTGTGTGCGGAACACTGTGCCAGGCTGGGCCCAGGGGCGCGGTCAGGGACCAGGCCTGGTCTCCTCTCACAATCCAAGCAGCAGCCGGAACTTGCAGAAGACGCCAAGGACGTTGACAGAGGCCGTGCTAGCCTTCGCATGTCAGCAGTGGCTGAAGCCGATGGGCCCAAGGCCAGTGCTGAGGCCCGACCCCAAATACCCAGCAAGCCCCACATTCCCAGCAAGCCCCAGGAGCTGGCCAGCCCTCCAGCCAGCCGCCCCACCCCTGCCCCCAGAAGGGCATCTGAGAGTGTGACTCTGACACCTCCCACGCCCCGGCCCCGGTCCAGTCTGCAGCACGAGAATCCGGTGGAGCAGGGTGCTAATGGCGGCCTTGTGAATGGTGAGCAAGGGTACAGTACAGGCAGGGCTCTCTGTGTGTGTGTGTCTGTGGACACATGTTTACATGTCTCTCTGCACCTGAGAGTTTGGCTGAGGCCACTCCCAATGCTCACCAGCTGATCCAGAGGTTAGAGGTCTGAACCCACATCTGTGTGGAGTCCCTCAGAAGAAAGGCTTGATAGCCAGCTTCTGAAGAGTCAGCCATGGAAACCCTATGGAGCACAGCTCTGTTCTGACACACATGAGGGCCATGCTCACAGTTGGTTTCTTATTGTTTGTGTCCCTGTGCTGATTGTTCATCACACAACAAGGCCTGGCTGAGTGCCGCTGTGTGCTGAGCCTGCTCTGGTGTTTGATAGCTGCTGTCTAGTTAACCCCAAACTCGTGGTGACTCCGAGCATGATGGAATGAGACACCACCCAGTCCTGGGCCATCACCGTGATGGGTTGTGCATCAAGCTGCTGTCACCCACAGGGTTTTCAGTGGTTCATTTTAGAAGTAGATATCCAGCTCTTTCTTCCTAGTCTGTCTTAGGCTAGATGCTCTGCCGAAACCCATTGAGCATCACAGCACCATGCAAACCTCCGCTGACAGACGGGGGGCTGTTGGTGTGTGTGCAAGAGGTGCATGGGCCGGAATTCCCACTTGGGTCTCCTTCATGGAAGGCGAGACTTCCGCCACGGAACCATCTTGGTCCTAGAGCCTGTTCTAGATGCTGGGATCCAATTTAAACAAAATAATTGCGAATCCCAGTCCTAGACTGCACCACTCCCTAAGTGTCTGGTGATTGCGGTCTTCTGCATCTATCTTGTGTGTTTCCTTTTCAGGGTGTGTAGTGAGTGTGTGCGTGTGTATTCCTGCATGTCTCTGGGAGTCGGTGTCCATTTATGTTTTCTTGTGTCCCAACCAATCTATGTGCATGCTCTAGGTGATCTCTCACATCCCAGTCCACGTGTTTTGTCTTTGTTGGGCTGCAGAAGAGGGGGGGGTGTCATGTGTCTCTTCAGGAGAACCTGAGGCTGTGGGGACCGACCCCTAGCCTACTGTGTGGGCCCACTCTTTTCATCTCAAGACCCTCCATGAACTCATGCATACAAAGGCCCTTGGAGCTAAGAAGGCCTGGGGAAAATGTATCATTTCTGTTGGGGAAGTTGTTGGAGGCTGTGGGAGACAGTCTCCCAGCATCTCCCCTGAGACCTGCACCAGAACATTGTCTTTGCTCAGTCTGTCTGCACTAACCGAGGGCAGGGACCCAGATTCCTTCTAGTCCTAGGTATGCCTTCACAGTGTTGTCAGTCTTGGGGACACAGGGAGGAGAGACAGACACAGAGTCTCAGTCAAAGGTTGTTGTTGTTGTTAGGTGCCATTAAGTCAGTACCAACTCATAGTGACATTATGCACCGCAGACCGAAACACTGCCTATCCTAGGTCAACCTCACTACTGTTGCCACACTCGAGTCCATTGATGCTGCCACTTGACCAATCCATCTCATTGGGGGTCTTCCTCTTTTTCTCTGATCCTCCACCTTACCAAACATGATCTAGCAACTGGTCCCTCCTGACAATATATCCAAAGTATGAGAGACAAAGTTTGGCCATCCTGGCCTCCAACGAGCACTCTGGCTGCACTTTTTCCAAAATGGATCTATTGGTTCTTTTGGCAGTCCATGGTACTTTCAATATTCTCCTCCAACACCCTAACTCAAATATATCAATTCTTCTACAGTCTTCCTTATTCACTGTCTAGTTTTTGCATCCATATGAGGTTATTGAACATTCAATGGCTTGGGTCAGGCACACCTTAGTCCTCAAGCTGACATCTTTGCTCTTTAACACTTCAAAAAGGTCTTGTGCAGCAGATTTGCCTAATGCTATATGTTGTTTGATTTCTTGACTGCTGCTTCCATGAGTGTTGATAGTTGATCCAAGAAGAATGAAGTCCTTGGCAATT